TCTCACCCCGCCCCCGGCAGGAGGCCTCCGCGCCCTCCGCGTGCCCACCAGGATGCCAGCCCCGCAGGCCTCCCACACCGTCCCCTGCACGGCTGTCCCTCCGCCCTGGGGACCCCTGCCGCCCTCCCCGGACCTTGAAGCCTTCGTGGCACCCCTTCTGGGCTTAATCCAGACTCTCAACTCCTTCCTGTGGGCTGGGCGCTGGCCTGGCACCTCCCCGCCCCCAACTTCCGTTCCAGGCTCCATGGGCAGCGCTAGAGAAACCCTTTCAGACTCAGCTCTGGTGACAATAGTCTCTCAGCCGTGAGTGATACTGGACAGTCTGAACCCAGTGCACACAGGCTGGCCTGGGCTACAAGCACCAGCCCCGGGCAGGGACCTTTCTCGGACCACAGCTCCCAGCCCCTCCCTCTGGCCACTCCCACCCAGGAAACCTGCCTTTCCACGCCTCAGTGCGTACAGGCCTCTCCAGGGCAACCTGCTCAAGTTCACTTCCCTTTCCCGCCGCACCTCACTGGCCTGCATTTCAGCCTTGTCCCCAGCACCCAACCCCAACAACCCTGAACCCCGGATCAATCCAAAGGCCAGCTCTACTGCCGAATAGGAGCTGTGCCCTATCTGCTGGATGAGTTCTTACTCCTCCTACTAGGCCCAGCGCAATCAGGGCACCCTCCGTGCAGCAACCTCCCAGCCCTTCCTTTGAGCTGGTAAATCCCTTCTCTGTTCCCCTAGCCCAGGGGTGAGGAACCTTTCTTCTGGGGTGTCTATAACATCATAAAATTATCAACTTAAAAACTAGCCTATCCTTGGCCAAACATTTAATTAAGGCATCCCTAATGCCTTGGCAGGGCCAGACCAGATGATTCTGCGGGCCTTATACAGCCCGTGGGCCGGCCGTTCCCCATCCCTGCCATAGCCCTTTGAAGATACATCTATACCAGCTCTTTTCACATCAGAATAGCTTTGTTTCCACATCATCTATATCAAACTCTGAGTTCATCCTCTCCAGTCCCTCTCACATCAGTTAGTTCTAAGGAAGCCGGAGCATGTCAGGGATTTGGGACTCACGGGCACGTGGTCCTGGGTCACGGCTGCCCACACTGCACGACTCCAGAGGGCACCCCTGGGGTTCTGCGACATGGCAGCACTGCGATGATCGGTCTGAGGCACCTGGTGGCCAGTGCCGCATTCTGTCTTGGCCATTTTCTCAGAAACTTGAGAGGCCTGGAGGACCATCTGACCAAATTACCCTCTCATGCCAACTAGTTACAGAAGTAATGTAGTCAGAATGGTCACTGCCAGTGAATGCAGAGGTCGGCAGCCTCACCCGAAGGTCAAGGGGTCAGTCCAGGAGAAGCTATGGGAAACCAGGCGGCTAGCAGGTGCAATGGGTGGATTCAGGCTACTATAATGACCTTGTTCTCTGCCACCGAAGTCTGTGATGGAGTGAGCTCCCCATCACCAGAGGTATGCCGGCAGAGGCTTTATGGAGAAGGTACAGGGGACCTCTGCAGACTAGAGCCGTCTTTTTTCCAGGGCATTCATCTGACGCAGTGAGTACCTGCTCTGTGTCAGGCACCGTGGGCTCAGTGGGACCCGGGCAGTACTTAGAGACCCAGACAGACATGAGCCCAGCTCAACCAGCCAGTATTTAACTGATTCACTGAGTAGCTTTAGAAGAGGCTTTGAGGGTGGGGCCCTTACAGTGACATCAGTGCTCCTATAAGAAGAGACGCCACAGAAGTCTCTTGCTCTCTGTCTGTGCCGTCTGAAGACACTGGGAGGGGGCAGCCACCTACAAGCCAGGAAGGAGCTCTCACCAGAAACTGACCGTGCTGACGGCTGGGTTTTGGATCGAGCCTCCAGCACTGCGAGAAAATGAGTTCCTGTTGCCTAAGCCGCTGTGGTCTTCTGTGCAGCAGTCCGAGCTGACTAACACGCCCTGGCCAGCAAGCTCTACTCTCACCACAGGGCAGGGTCTGCCTGGGGCAGCAGCCTCGCCTGCCGGGTTCTGTCTCAGAGGGCAGGCTGGAGTGGGCGAGTAGCTGGCGGTGAGGTCTGGTTCAAAGAACCAGGTTTGATTTTATTGGTTTTTCTCAATCGTTTTCTATTTCATTGATTTCTGCTCTTATCTTTATTATTTCCTTCCTTCCACTAGCTTTGGGCTCTCCAAAAAGACCTTAAACATTGTTATATGGGACATATTGATGGTTAACTCCATTGAAGGGGATAAATATTAGCCATCATTTACAGTTGAGGATCTGAAAGAGGTTAAGTAACTTGCCCGGTGCCCCGAAGCTACCAAGTGGTGGAGCCAGAATTCAAACCCAGGACTTCTAACCACTGGACAACACTGCCTCCCAGCCAGAGCCTTCACTGCACCAGATGCCTCGCCAAGCACGGTCAAGGAGAGCCGCTTCTCAGTGTCTCTGACACCCGTGTTTCCTGTCTTCCTTCCCAGTGACCATCGGCTTTCCTCGGGGTCTACTGGCAATCCTCCCAGTTCCCTTGGCCGAAAGGTCCCGGGGCTGCCCTGTCCAGGGAGAAAGCCTTCAGAACCGCCTTGGCACTTACCTTGGACTTGGCTGAACTACAGGTGGTGGGATCTGTGGGTGAGAACAGAAAGGAAAGGAACGTTGGAGGGGGCAGGAGCAGGCTGAGACGTGTGAACGCGCTTCCCTCTTCAAAGGCTTCGGAAACCAGGGAGTCCAGAAACCCGAGACCCCCCCGGGCCTGGGACATCCGGGGCCTCTGAGGCCAGTTCCAATGGGATCGGGATGGAGCAGAGCAGGATGTCAGTCACCGCTTCCTTGTGAGGCAGGACGGGCCACCAGGCTGCCAGCCACTGACGCCTCATGTGCCCTGGGTTTAGGACAAGAGGGGCTTCTGGGGACCTAGCTCCTCTCCCCCTCCTCTCCCGGTTACTGTGAAGCTCTGGAGAGAAAATGCCCGGTACCAGAGGCAGTCCACGAAGCCACAACAGTGAGACACAGCACATCACAGATGCTCTGGAGAATGGAGACCACACAGTGCAGAGAGGAGGGCGCCCGACATCCACCCGCACCCCCCACTTGCAGGACACGAGAGGACCATGTGAATGAATGAAGGATCGAATGCAGGGCCGACATGAAGTAGGTGGGACACAGGAGGCAGAGTGGCCTGGGGGCTAGAGCCCTGCTGGGTTCCCCGTCCGGACATGAGGCCCTCGTTTATAACTGGAGGGTCAAGTCATGATTGCCTCCGTGGGGCTTGGGTCCTGCTCCCGGAATATGACGGGGGTGGAGAAGGAACCACAGCCAAGCCCTGCAGCGCCTCCTCCAGAACGGGCAGGGAGCAGCGGATGCGTGCGTCCCCGGCCCGAGGGGGCAGTGGGCAGTGCAGTTAATCCACACTCTCTGGCAAGCAGGTTAGAGGCCTCCTCCCCAGCCCACCCAGCACATGGTGAGAAGAGCAGATGTGCTGACCACACAGCGACACACCACGGGGCAGGGGAGCGGCAGCGGGTGACTAGAAGAGACGAGGGCCCTCCCCCAGCCTGCCTCTTGCAGCTAAGGGTGCTGTGACACCTCCTGTCAGAGACAGGACCAAAGGACCGAGGTGAGGTCACGCCCAGGGTGGGAGGAGTTAGTGGCTGCTCTCCTATGAGAATGGATGGAGGTCTGCAAATAGGACTGGGCTGAGTGACCAGGGGCTCTGGTTTCAGAAGCAAAGAGAGTCAGTCCTTGAAGGGGCAGGAGCTACAGCCATAAGAGGCTTCTGAAAGGTGGTGTCACTGGTGTCCGGAGAGACTGGGTCCTGCTCCCAGCCAAGCCTCCCCCTGCCCAGATCACCAGACGTAGCCGGGCTGGGCACAGAGAGAAGGCCCCGGGATGGGGACCACCAGGAGGGCAGCCATGCGGTGCCCAGACTTCCTGGCCAGGGGGACAGGATCTGACTCTAGCAAGTGCCTCCCTCCTCCTGAGAAGGGCCTTCCAGATTGGAGGGGACTGGCACGGGGTTATTAGCAATCATGGGGAGCTGGCATGTCAAGGTGAGGTCCTCACAGCCCGGATGTCCCCGCCTGCCCCTCGTGCCTGCCCAGCCTTCTTATAATCACCCGCCACTGTTAGTGACCGAGGCCGCGACGCCACACTGTACCCTTTAAATCTCCAACAGGTCCGCTGGAGGAGTGGGAGGGAGAAGAGAAGGAACAGGATCCAGGGTGTGGGAGGAGAGCAGAGGGAGGAGGGAGGAGGGATGAGGGGTGCAAGGAGAAAAGGAAGAAAAATTAAAAAGAGAAACATGCCCAGAAGGACACAGCCCATGAGAAATAAAAAGGTCAGGAAAGAAACCCGTGAGGGAGGGGACAGAGCGCCTCCCAGCCCTGGGGTGGGGGCAGCTGAGCAGATGGGGAGGAGGGCGCACGGCAAGCTGGACCTCCCCAGAGAGAGAGAAGCCCTGCCACAGCCTCTTCTCGGTGGTGGGGGAGGGAAGGGCCCCGCGGGGCAGGAGCAGGGAAGCTGGGCGTCTGGCCGGGCACCTGGGATGGCATCTGGGACCCTCAGGGATGCAGGGCCCACCCTCACCCCCACCCCTCCCAGGACCCTGCACTCACCGGGACCTGGGTCGCCAGGGGGCACTGTCCTGCCAATGTTGGGCAGGAGATACTCGATGTTGGGTACTGACTGCGGCTCCTTGTCATCCACAGGGGTCTGCGAACAGAAGGGGGTCAGCCACCAGGCGCTCAGACGGCCAGCCTGGATCCTGCAGAATGGGGTCCCCTGGAGGCAGGGCGCACGTCTCCTCCACAGACGGGCTCAACAGGGCAGTGCTGTCTCCCTCATCACGCAGGCACCCTCGAGGGCAGGTCTCCGTTGGACCGTTTTGTGCCTCCCCAACACCTTGATCGAGCCCCAAAGTCCTGAGCTGCTCCCTCCGCTGAAGGCAGGAGCTGTGTCTCCCCCACCAGCCTGGACCTTCCTAAGGCTACACCCGCTGCATAAGACTGAAAGGTGGGTGTCTGCCTTTGCTACCAGACGCTGTTTCTTTAAAGGAGGCCTGTACCCCCCACCCCCTGACTGAGAACTCCCGGAGGCAAGGATGTGTCTCCTCTTGCGTGGGTGCTCCTGAGGAGAGGGTCTATGTTTCCTCCCTCAGAGTGGGGTGCCCCAGGGCGGGGACCTCCTC